GCTTGGAAAATCCTCTCTCTCTGTTGTGCCCACATGAGCTCAGCTCGGCCCAGGCCAAGGTGTTGCAGCTGCTTGGTTTCTTGGGAGCGGTAGTCCCAGCACTGGTGGTGACCATTGTCCCGGCTGTGGATTTGTGAAGTTGTGACTATAGATTTTGTTTGCATTTTAGAGCAACGTGGTCCTCCATCAGGAACAAACTCAGCCAGGCAGAGTCCGGCCCCACAGCACCGACCGCTGGGATTAGCACTGATCAACCCAGACAGGTTGGGAAAAGTGGCTGGGAATGGTGGGCAGAGCTTGGCCAGAGGGACGAATGCGAAGGTAACGTCCGCATCCTTTCACCTTTCTGTAGGGGAGCTACAGAAGGGGAAGCTGGAAAAGAAGTTTCTAGTAGCTACCGGCTGTCCTGGCCTGAGCACAAGCACATGGCACAGTTGGATGCTGCTTCAGGTGTTGGCAGCCGTCATTCCCAGGTACAAAAATCCATCCAGAGGGTGGGGAGACACAGGGAATCCTCATCCATCAAGGCACTCCAGCGGTGTTGCCACAGAGTTCTCAAAAGCAGAACATTACAACATTTCCCTGTCAGATATGGGTAGAACAGTTGTGTATAAAAGTGTACCGAAGTGTCTCACGGAATATTTTTGCTCATGTTTTAAACGTGATTGTCTCCTTAGGGTAGTTGAACGCTCATTATTGTTATGAAAGAAACACTAAAGGCTTGTAAGGGAGCGACTACGGACCCTTTGGCCAAATTTCTTCAGGAATTTTGTGCCTGTCTCAGAAGGAAAGATGTTCTGAATGTTTAGACTTAGGTTAAAACCATTACCCTGAGTCACCCCAGAGCTGGGATGAATGCTGTTTAAATGCTCAAAATGCAGAAGTATTGAAATGTTTTTCTAGAAAAACAAAAGGTTAAATCTGCCTACATGTCTTCATCTCTTTATTTTTTTTAATTTATTTTTTTTTTCCATCCCCCTCTCTGACTTCCTGCACAGAATCCCGGCTGTTTCCCAGTGGAGTTGGAAAGGGGCCCTCGAGGGTTTGGATTCAGCCTCCGGGGAGGAAAAGAATACAACATGGGCTTATTCATCCTCCGTCTGGCTGAGGATGGGCCGGCAGTCAAGGATGGAAGAGTCCATGTGAGTTTGGCTACTCTAATCCATTTTTTGATGCGGTCAATATGTTAGTTTATCCAGAGTGGTGACCTCCTTTGACGGAGCGTCTTAAAGAGGCTTCCTGGGTTTTGTTGAAGATGTTAACGTTACACACCAAGTGACATCTATTGGCTGCTGTGTGCGGTGCCAAATAGGCTTCCACTCCCTTTTGGCCCCCATTTCCCTTCCCAGTTTTCCCCAACAGAGAACTCTTTTTGGGGTCTGCTATTCCAGCCCCTTTCCAGCAGCGGGGGAAGTTAGCACGAGCTGAAATTACCTGCCTGGTACCAGTGAGAGTTGTTTATTGGCTCTGAGACCTCACCGCTGATCTCTCCAACCTGAAACAGCAATTCCTGTCCCTATAGCAAACCCGTTTGCACGGTGTTCAGCTCAGCAGTGGGCATAGGGAAGGTGCCGTGTCCTCCCCTGGATAAGGTGACCTCAGACAGGTGCGATGTTGTTGATCCACGTGCTCCCTCCACAATCCGGAATGAAAATACGTTCAAGCACATCCTGTATCTGCCTCATCGCTTGTAAATAAATAGAAGATGTGGTTAAGCTATCTGGAATCTTTCCCTGAACAGACTACCTCTGTGCACCTCTGAACCCCCGGACCCTGGGGTCACATCCTGTTTGTCATCCAGGGAATGATGTCACTAATGCCCACTGGATTTTAGCATGAGAGGGAAAACAGAAGCATTTGCCTCAATTATTTTTCCTTTCTAAATGAAAAGCCAATTCGCAGAGTCAGAGATTCCCAAAGACTAATCTGCTTCGCTTTTTTCCTCAGGTTGGTGACCAAATAGTGGAAATTAATGGAGAACCTACCCAAGGAATCACTCACACACGAGCCATTGAGCTGATTCAGGCTGGAGGAAATAAAGTTTTGCTGCTGCTGAGACCAGGGACTGGATTGATACCAGATCACAGTACGTTGTCCTAAGGGCTGTTTGGTGCTGAGGGGAGTAAAGTGGGATAAGGAGATTCGGCTGCTTGTTCACATTACTACTGCAGTAGTTGGCGGTTGCCTTTGTAACAGCTGTGCATTCATTATTGAATTAAATTAAATATTAAAATGCAAAAATTGAAAATTAAAATACCTGTTTTCAAGCATGAGGAATATTTGGAGTAAAATCAACACGTGACAAGTACACGGGAGTATTGCACAATCTGAAATTATTCCGTATTTCTAATTAGTTGCTCAGTTCTGTCCAAGCTAATCGAGTTTTTCTATAAAAATACGCTGATTAACCCTGATTGCCTTTTAATTTAAATGAAACTTCTCTGTGCTACACTACTGCTAAAATTTTGTTACTGTACATATTTACCTCTGTTTTTAGCTTTCTAAATTATGAAAAACTTTGTTTCTCAAAGCCAAAACTTCAGGAATCAGGAAAGGGACAACTTTATTCTCCAAAGGGATTTAGGGAGATTTCTGCATCTACAAAAGGAAACCACAGTTTTGTAGGCAAAAAAAAAACAAACCAGGAAGTACAGCAGAGCAAATGTTTGCAGGAGCCACAGAGTTCAGAACTGATGACTTTGGGTCTGACTCAGTCCCAAGGCTGCAAATCAGAGGCTTGCGGCAGTGCTGGAATTTTAAAGCAAAGAACATTTCATTTCCTAAATATGCATTTTAGTCTTTTTAACCCCTGATGCTGACAATGAGGTGCTGATGGTTAAACTTCCTAAATTGTAAGGTCGCTTCTTCTGATAAGGAGCTTTTCGGTCACCGTGAGCAACCTCGAGTTTATCTTTTCAAAATCCCGAACACGCACAGCTACCAAATACTTTGCGCGTTGTCGCTAATTGGCATTCACTCAAAGGGTAAAATCTGCTCAGTACTGTCTGAATTTCTTTTCTCCCAAGAGCTAGAAAAGGGTCCTGAGCATCACTCCTGGTCCTGCTGGTCTCAGAAATTCCCTGAACTTGGGGGAGAAACAGACTTGGACAAAAGGGAACCTCTGGAGCTGGACGAACCTCTAGCTCTCTGTCTAGAGAGGGGGCCTGGGATGAGGTGAAGGAGGTGGTGGAGTGGGGGAAGGGTTTATTGTCTCTTGCCTTGCTGTTAATCCCACATTTCTGATTGAAATCTCGCTTGCTGTACTCTGTGGGTTTTGGGGTTTTTTTTGTATGTACTTCTGGGCTTTTTCTCTTCCTCCTTCAGGTTTGGCTCCTTCCAGTCTGTGTCCCTACGTGAAACCTGAGCAACATTAAGGGCTTTCAGTGCTTTTCTTGGTTTTTCCTTAAAGACTTGGTAAATCTGCATGTCTTGTTTCATCTCTTCCTATTTTTGAAGGGCAAAGCTATGAATAACCCAAACTTTTCACTGTTTCAGATTTCTTTAAGCATAACAGTTCTGGTTTGTTTTGTTTTATTAAACAATGTAGGTCAGGGACTTTTTAATTTGAAATTTTGCTGTGTAGGCTCTAAACTTGTCTTGATCCAAGACTCTCTCAGTCCTGCAGGGATCGAGCATTCTGAGCACTAGTTTGTTTCTTTTTTTCAAAATCACATCCTCAGGGTTATTGTAGAACAACACAGTACAGAAATCTGGCAAAGTAAAGCTTTGAAAATATGCCACTCTGTAGTGATTTTTGATTTGAACTCAGTAGTTTGCCGATTTTTGCTTTTTGTGTATTTAATCAAATCTCTCATCATTCGCTTCCAGGTGATTGGGATGGCTGCAACCCTGCTTCATCAAATGTAATATATGAAGAACAGTCACCATTATTATCTTCATCTTCCCATGCTGCTTCCCCATCTGAAGTGTGTTATTTAGCAGTATCAGGAGAAGCTTTAACCAGAGTTCAGCTGTCTGAGAAACTGGAACAAGCAGAGAACACTGTGCCTGACAAGATAAGCACTTTAACTGAAAACCAGTGTGAGAGGAAGCCTCAGTCTTCTCCCCAGAGAACAAAGAGCAGATGGGAATGTCCCTCGAGTCCTGGGTTTGGGATCACTAAAGGTAGTTCAGAAGCAGGGACCAAAAGGGGCAGATCTGCCAGTCCAGCAAAGTCTGGGGCTGCTGAAGGATACTCTCATGTGGGATTCCACAGCCCCAGGAAAGGGGATCCTGAGACAAACAATCTCTCACATATATCTGAAAGTTCCAGGAGTGAGAGTAAAACCGCAGAAATAGGGATGAAGAGCAGTGACAAAAAGGAGTCTTCAGGTGGAAATCAAGAAAGGTCAGCAAGTCCCCAAAGGCATCTCAGCAAGCCAGGAAGCACAGCAATGGTGGGAAGGATCCAGGGTAGAACATCCCGTGGCGAGAAGGCAACTGTTGAGCAGTTGAAAGGTGGGAATGGTAAACCAGAAGTCACCAGGAAAGAGATGAAGCAGAAGACTCCAGGAAAGACAGAAGGGTGTTCTGCAGACCGACCTTACCCAGTGTTTGGTGAACATAACCTTCCCTTCAGGGACTCCAGAAGAAATGCCTCTGAAGATGACTTATTAACCAAGTCCAGCTCTGGAGGCACAGGTTCTAGCAGATTCAAAACCTCCAGCCTTTCCGATATCCCGCTGCTTTCCATGGAGAAACAAAGGAGGGTGGAAACACAGGAAGCTCTTAGGCTGAGCAGGCACCATGGAAAAAGACACGTGGAGCTGCCTGATGAAACCAAAGATGGAACTTCCCAACCTGAGAGGAATTCTCCAGTAAGGAAAACACTGATAACTCCTGGGCCATGGAAGGTCCCCAGTGGCTGTAAGGGCACCCCAGCAGCAGCGGTGCCTGGAAAACAGGTGTGACTGACTGACAGACACTGTGCTTTAGAACGTGTTTTGATCAATTTTCCAGTAAGGGTAATTTAAAGCATCGGTTCATCTCGCACAGTTGTCTTTTTTTTTTTTCCCCTCAGAAAACGGTTAGAGGTGGGGAAGGTATTTGATTTGTTCTTAAATTATCTAAGCTCCTTGAAGGACCTTGCAGATTGCCTCAGTGAAACCCTTCTATGAGCTGCTGTCCCCGTGTCCCCTGCAAAGGCAGGCCATGTCTGCCGCTCCCAGTGTTGCACTGCTGCAGCTTACCCCAAGTATTGTGAACTCTGAACAAAGTTATTTAATGCCTCTGTTGCCAATGTGATCCCGACTCACTTCCTGTTCCCGTGCCATGCTAGCTGCTGTATCCAGTCAATCTAGCCTTTCCTACGGGGATTCCAGTCACAGACAAGGCAGGTTTGGCGTGAAGCGGGTGCTTTCTCTAGAGCAGGTTGCACGTTTACATCAGGAAACCCACAGAACATGGGTGAGTTGGTTTTTGTCAGTTCCAGGGCAGCAAATGAGCTGCTGCTGCTGCTGCGTTCGTACATTTCCTGGAATTTTTATACCTAATACAAAACCCTGTAGCTAAATATGGTATTTTAATTAATTTGTGATTTTGCTTTTTCTGACACAGCAAAATTGCTTTAATTCCTTGAGTTACAGGGATTTGGGTTGCAAACATCTTTGAGAGGGAAGAAAATTCTGGGTTCCGTTAACACAATTCCTTCGGTTTCACTCATGGCACTGCGATGCCCTTGGCCTTGGGATGGAGCTGATGCTGAAAAGTCCCATCTTTAATTATTTCATGCTAGTTAAGAATTTGAGATTTTTCCTTCTGTAGAGGTAAGAGCTGACCTTAGGACAGACTCAGCTGCCAGAGCAGTGGTTTCAGTGATGTTCTTGCCCATGTATTTTAGAACTCTCCCCTGTTTACTATAAATGTGTGATCAAAGAGTGTTGATGACAAACAGGATACAGGAGACACACCATCTACGTTTTGTGCTGCCAGAGATATTTTAAAGAGGGATGTTATGACCAGAACCTATTGACCCATCAGTCCTACAGATGTAAGAACAACAGAAACAGAAGGGGTTTATTTTATTCACAGTTTCAATGACTGCAGAAAAGTGGTAAAAGGAGGCCCTCGGTCTAGTTTGCTGGAGAGAGAAAAGTAGAATGATCGAGCTTTACTTCAAATACAAACATGATTTCCTCTTTCCAAGTGAATATCTTGTTTTGGATTTGAAACACTAAATGCTTTTAAAGGCTGTCAAAGTTCTGAGTGGAATTCTTCACAAGTACAGCTGACTGCTCAAACAGCTTTAAAACAAAGATTTTGGGAATTCAAAAGGCTTTAAAGCAGCTCTGAACCACGGTCACCTGCTCGAAACCGGGTGAGACGCTGACGCCGGGTTTGCCGTGCAGCGCAACACGTACGAATTCTCCTTGAGCGGAATATGACTGTGAACTATTTAATACTCTGAAGTAGCCTGTGTAGATATTGCCCCACGTTCTTCCCCAGAGGTTGGTTTACGTTGAGCTGTGTGCACTCGGCCTGACCACTGAGTACAGTGACAAATCCAGTCCTTTAATTCCAGATGAATTAGCCCCACTGAAATTATTTCCTTGCCTTCAACTCCTCTCTATTTTTCTATATGTTCATGTGACCTGATAATGTCTTACCTGTATGTGATTTCTCCTTCCGTAGACCTTGTATCCGTACTTCCCGTATCAGACTTAGCCACGTGGCCTCGGAACGCTACGTAACGGATGGATGTACCGGGTGTAAATGTTTATATATTGTACAGCACCTTTATACAGACTTCTGAGGTTCTGACTAGAGAGAGACATGTAAATTGCTCATTATTTTTTATATAGATACTAAAAACAAATTGCAGTTCATGGCCTGTTGGTTCTGCACTATCTAAACCACATTCTTGGTTGGCTTCCAGGGGTACAATCCACATTTTTACTCACAAACATGCCGCTCCTCTGGAAATTAAATGCAATTTATTATTGGAAGTCTTCGATCCCCCGTTCAAAAAACAAATGTTCAGCAAAAATGGTATAAAAATCATTAAGTCCTGTCAGCGGTAACAACTTTTTATTTGTATAGAAAATAGCTGTAAACAATTTAGTACCAGCTGTAGCTCTTGTATGGCTTTAGCGTCTGATGTCCCACACCAGTTCCTACCGGTTTCAGTGCTAGCCGCCAGGATTCGGTCCCATTAATCCAGTTTTTCTGGGCATGCCATAGGATGACATCTCTGATGAGGCCAGTGCATTCTGGGTTTTGTAGAATTCTACAAGAAGGAAAACTTCTGATACATACACTGAGAATATATTTTAAAATTTGAATGATTTTCTTTCTACCCACGTTGGTTTAAGGCTAAGGTTAGAGTTAGGGTTAAGATTAGGGTTCAGGGTTAAGGTTAGAGGGTTAGGAAAATTACGAATGGAGCAGGATTCCTCCCAGACCCAAGCCACCCCCAGCTACAACTCGGGCTGCCCTTGGAGTGCCAAACGTCTCTGACAAACTGACATCAGGAACCTGCAGAGGTGAGTTTTCTTTCCCACGGAAAAGGGGTGCCATTCACGTCCAGCGGCCGGGCGGCCG